TTTACAAATTATTCCAAACTTCTCAAAGGTAACACTGACATCCTCTGCAAACCTGCAAGGTTTTACTGGCCCCTAAAGGACCACCAGACCTTCAAAGACCTGAAAATAGCTTTCACACCTGCCCCAGTGCTGGTCCACCTTATTCCTGACCAACCCTTTATCCTTGAGGCTGATGCCTCTGAGGTAGCCATCAGAGTGGTACTATCCCAAGAAATGGGGCCCCAGCATGAGATGCAACCAAGTGCATATTTTTCACAAAAACTCACCCTGAGCAAACACAATTATGAAACAGCAGACAAGGAGTTACTCACCAGCAAGCCTGGATTGGAGACTTGGCAACACTACCATCAGTGGGTCAAACAACCCATCCTAGTCTTAACCAACCATAAGAATCAAGAATACCTGAGATCTGCTAAGGCGCTGAATCAGCAGCAGTTACACTGGGTCCTACTCTTCCTAAGATTCAATTTCACAATCACATATAATCCAGGCGACAAGAATGGCAAAGCTGATGCCCTTTCATGAAAAGAGGAATACTATACAGAACCTTCTAATGCCAAAGAACCTGGCATATTAAATCCATGCCATTTCATTTGTGGATCTGTATCCTCAGACTTTCTTACCATGTTTTGAGAAGCCCTCCCTAATGATCCTTTTGCTAAATTCATAACCTCTTCCACTGAGGGTCTCTCCAGTATCACCTTATGCCACTATTCCTGGGTCAACAACCTCATCTATGTCAATGGCCACCTATATGTCCTCAGCTGTTCCCCAAGACTAGAAGTGCTGCGCATATATCATGATACCCCCAGGCAGGTCACTTTGTCAATCCAAGACTTTGCACATTGTAGCCCGCTCATTCTGGGGGCCACAAACGCAGGATGACATTTGGTCCTACATCAGGTCCTGCAACATGTGTGCTTGAACAACTCCCCCCTCCGAGCAGGCCTTTTAGCCTCCTGATGCCATTTGTGTCCTTTTCCTGGTCCTGATCACACATAACCCTTGATTTTTATAGTGGAACTGCCTATATCTAAGGCCACAACACCATACTGACTCTTGTCAACTAACTCACCAAAACGGCCCATTTTGTATCATTCACACATCTCACAACTATGGAAACCACTGTTTCCACTGAAACTATTGTTTCTAGTTACACATATCTTCTACTACTATGGCCTCTGCGCCCATCTTACCACAGACTCTGGCTCCCAGTTCATATCCAGGTTCTGGAAGGAGGTGTTTAACCTCCTAGATGTCCAGCCCCAGGCATTTACCACATACGGATGGGCAATCGGAAGGGATCAATCAGATAATACCTGCACTGCTTCCTGAATCACTGTCAAAACAACTGAGGGTTGCATTACTCCTGCTTTCTGAATTCACATATAACAACACAGAACATCCTCTACCTCAGCAGTTCTCAACCAGGGATCCGAGGCCCCTGGGGGGCCATGAGCAGGTTTTAGGGGGTCCACCAAGCAGGGCTGGCATTAGACTCACTGGGGCCCAGGACAGAAAGCGAAGCCCCGGGCTGAAGCCAAAGCCTGAGCAATTTAGCTTTGCGGGATCCCCTGTGGCATGTGGCATGTGGCAGTTGCCCGGCTTGCTACACTGTAATGCCAGACCTGGTTTTTATATTCAGAAAACAGTTTTTGTGGCACAGGTGGGATCTGGAGTTTTTATAACATGTTGGGGGGGGGGCTTTGAAAGAAAAGGTTGAGAACCCCTGCTCTACCTGATCCAGCTACTTCTACTCCAACTATGGCTTTCATCCTTGTTTCCACCTTTCCATTCCGTTGTCAACAATGGTTCCCATTGCCTTCGATCTAGTACAGATTATATATGAAATGTAAGCCAACCTAACGGAGCACCGGGAAATGGTCAAGACTGCCTACAAACCCAATGCTGACAAACACCACCAAGAAGCCTGCCTTTAAAGGTAGGCCAGAAAGTGTGACTGTTCACAAAACACCTACAGAGAGTAGAACTACACATAAATTAGATCATCAATTTGCAGGCCCTTTCACTATTACTTGGCAGATCAATCCAGTGGTATTTGAATTACAACTCCCTCGATCTTGCAAGATCCATCCAGTCTTCCATGTCTCCCTGCTGATGCCTTTCCTTGGCAATCTATTCCCCGAGTGGCATACGCCACCTCTACCCCCAGTTCAACTTCAAGACCATGAGGGGTATCTCGTTCATGATATCCTGGACTCTCAAATGTGCAAAGGGACTCTGTACTATCTGATCAATTGGCGGGTTATGGGCCCAAATAAAGTTCTTGGGAGCTGGCTCATCATATGCATGTCCCTGCAAAATATAGGCCTTCCACAGGAATCATCCTGGGTAGCTTGTCCCTGTGGCATCTGGGGATTGCCTGGGGCAGTCAGGTGCCACAGACCTCAAGCTCAGGCCTATAAGGCTGCTAAGTAGGAGCCTTATCCTCCTCACCACCAAGCTGCAAAGGGAACTGCTGCTGATACCCCACCACCAGAAACTACACCTACTGATTCAGGAGACTCAAATGATTAACAGAAAACTGCTAATTGGACACCATCCCCTATAAAGCTTCCTGTTTCTTTCCTATCCCTGGACTGAGCAACTAGTTGCTAGATCTGTTGCTGCTCAGACCTCTGAGACCAAGTCCCTACTTCCTTGACTGGTTCCTGCTATTATGCTTTGTTCCCATTCCTTATCCTCACTCTATTTGTGGTTCCAACCACAAGGTCATACAGCCTACATTATGGGCTCTGACACTTATCTAATTCTATTTTGAACCCAGTTATACTTTTGGCCTTCATATCATCTCCTGGCAATGAGTTCTATGTGCGGTGTGAAGAAGTACTTTCTTATGTTTGTTTTAAACCTGCTGCCTATTGATGTCATTAGGTGACCCCTGGTTCTTATGTTATATGAAGCGGTAAATAACACTTCCTGATTCACTTTCTCCACACCATTCATGATTTTATAGATCTCTATCATATCCCACCGTAGTCATCTCTTTTCTAAACTGAACAATCCCTGGTTTCAGAGTAGCAGCCGTGTTAGTCTGTATCTGCAAAAAGAACAGGAGTACTTGTGGCACCGTAGAGACTAACACATTTATTTGAGCATAAGCTTTCGTGGGCTACAGCCCACTTCATCGGATGCACAGAATGGAACATATAGTGAGGAGATATATGTGCACACAGGGACCATGAAAAGGTGGGAGTTATCCTACCAACTCTAAGAAGCTAGCTTAGCTTTCATGGTCCCTGTGTGCACATATATCTCCTCACTATATGTTCCATTCTATGCATCCAATGAAGTGGGCTGTAGCCCACGAAAGCTTATGCTCAAATAAACGTGTTAGTCTCTAAGGTGCCATAAGTACTCCTGTTCTTTTTGAACAATCCCTGTCTTTTTTATCTCTCCTCATAGGAAAACTGTTCCATACCCCTAATTGTTTTTGTTGCCATTCTCTGCACCTTTTCCAATTTGACTATATCTTTTTTAAAATGGGAAGACCAGAACTGCACACATTAATGAAGGTGTGGGCATACCATGGATTTATACGGTAGCATTACGATTTTTTCTGTGTTATTAGCTATCCCTTTCCTAATGGTTCCTTACATTCTGTTAGGTTTTTTTACTGCTGCTACACATTGAGCAGATGTTTACAGACAACTATTCACAATGACTCCAAGATCTCTTTCTTGAGTGGTAACGTGTGGCAGGATTATTTTTTCCAATGTGCTTTACTTTGCATTTGTCAACACTGATTTTAATCTGCCATTTTAGCAACCAGTCTCCCAGTTTAATGTGATCCCTTTGTAACTCTTCATAGTCATCCTTGTACTTAACTATCTTGAATAATTTTGTATCTTCTGCAAATTTTGCCACCTCATTGTTTGCCCCCCTTTTCCAGATCAATTATAAATATGGCAAACAATACAGGTCCCAGTCCAGATCCTTGGGAGACTCCGTTATTTATCTCTTGCCATTGCGAAAACTGACCATTTATTCCAACTTTTTGTTTCCTATCTTAAGAGGACCTTGCCTCCTGTCCCAAGACAGTTTAATTTACTTACAAGTCTTTGATCTGTTGAGATTGATCTGAATCTCAGCTATTTTTTTTTTAAAGTAACTTTCTAGCCCTGTATCATTGCAGCAAAAAACCTGAAAATGCGAGCTCTAAAGGTTGATAAACCAGATGGCAAATAAAAAGAACCCAAATGTATTATTCTTAAAATCCTTGAGAATTTTTTTAAGCCAGTGATTATTTTTTGGGTTGAATGCTGGACTCATGAGCTTTGGCTAGTTGGGGCTGGCAATACAGCCATCCACCAACGGGAACACAACACTGCCCTCCATTACCTACCCTTATTTCCACAGTGGTGGAGCAGTCCTTTCTAGCTGTCTCCAGGCCCGTAGTGTGCCTAGTGCGAACTACATCTCCCAGCATGCACTACTTCCTGCTGACACGGGCTGCCGTGGCCCATTGCATGTTGGGACTTGGGCTTGGTAAACCGTCCAAGGGCAGGAGGCTGGAACGCTGCCTGTCCCTATGGTGGCGGCAGGCGGCGCTAACCTTTGACCTATCGGAAGTGATTGCGAGGCAGCTGGCCCGGAACAGGGGGCCCTGCGAGCAGGGAGCGGAGGCAGCGAAGCTGACACAAGTGAGTCCCCGCCACGGCCGGCTGGAGGGGACGGGGCGCGAGCTGAGAGGCTGCCCCCCCCCCTCGCGTTTCGTCTCCGGGGGGGAGGAGAGTCGCCGCCGAAGCCTTTGAGTGAGGAGCGGGCCTCGCCTGCTGGTAGCCGGCCCAGGGCCCCGGCCCCGCTCCGAGTAGCGGCCACCCCCTGGGCGGAAATCTTATTACTCATCCCTGGGCGGGGGGAGGCTGGGGGCGTGTTTAGGGCTCGGGGCGGCCTGAGGGAGGCTCAGGGGTGTGCCAGGGGCGATTTCGCTCCCTTCCCATGTGTCTGTAACACAGTCATTGGATTCCACACACCATCAACAAAAACCCTCTCTAAAGCAGTACTGTAACTATTGCTCTGTTTGACTGCTACCTCCACCAACGAGGGAGCCTCCTACTTCCTCTCCCCTCCCTAAAGGGAAGGAAATAATTCGGTTACAAAAATCCCAAGGATGGAGGAATTTAGGAACCTTTTTAAGGTAGGTTACGGTGCTTAGATACCAAAGTAAGATTTGTCTTGCGATATATGGGATTGTGATTGTCTCCCTCCTTTTAAACGTGAATCGGCTAGTCTAAATGCACTTAAATATCTGTAGGGAGTAAAGTAATGTATTTGTGTGAAGAAAAGAGAAACTAAAGTTTCTCATTAATGATAGTCTTGTTTCACAAGTTGCAATATCCAGCATCTGTGTTACAGCTTGTGAGTAAAGACTGGTACTAAAGGGAAACTACAAATATCCACACACCTTTCCTTCCTATTTTATTTCACGCACTTCTGATCACTTGCAGATAATTAAAAGCATTTAGACTACAGGGTTCATGCTTGGGCGAAGGGAGAAAATCATATATAGCACAAGGCTCTTCATGCTTTGATATCCAAATACCATAATGTTCTTTGAGTGGTGCACCATACCACCTTCTAGCCTTCACACTATGTAACTATTTATACATTATGTAATGCTTTTTATCTTGAAGCAGGCCTTCTGTTAGGTGCCAGTCTTCTGTCAATCATTCTGTTTTATTTACATCAGGAATAAAAACAAAAAAGTCATATCAGTTTTGCTGAGCCAGTGTTAGAATCAATGGGAGCCCTACCATAGACAAGGCTCTGGAGGACTTCAGCATTTTTACCAATGAGGAATGGCTTTAGCTGAGACAGTAGTATTAGTAAAAATGCTGGAAAACATCTGAACCTTCTCTGTACTAGGGCTGCCACTGATCAAGTGAGTTGGGAATGGTACAGGTGGGAAAAGCTTCATAAAGTTCTCTGCATAGACAGTGCCTTAGATATAAGAGTGTGGAAGACTTGGGTTTGGCATTGGTATAATGAAATAAAGCGGTGGCCAGGTGCTACTTTAAAACAAGAGAGAATTTTGTGTTGAATGAGGAGGCAGAAAATAACTTATACCAGGATTGAAGGCGCAGTATTTATAGAACAGTGTACTAAAAGTCTTCTCCTTATGCACTATCATTTTCTTTGACCATTCCCTTCACATTCTTCCACACATCCCCGAAAATCACCTGTATGCATATAACTTTCTATGTAAATGGTAACTGGTTTTGAAGACTTTCTTGATACGATATTTCTATATCATTGTTCATGTTTCTCATGTTGTATGAAGGCAGATTGGACTCGAATGTTCAGTTTGTAATTAGAATGCTACAAATAATACTCCAGGGGGAATTCTACACAATTGTGTGCATGTAGAATTTGCAGATTTCTTTGCGTCCCTGAAGAAATATGACTTTCTGATGGGGAAGCAAAGGGAAGCTGCAAGAGTGTTCATGTATCCTTCCCCAGCAACGTGGGCATGTGGTTTTGGGCACCTGGAGCAGCTGGCGGAGAGGTAAATCACTGTGAGGGGAGGGCTGAAGGCATCCTGTCTGGTGTCGGGTCAGACCCTCCCCCCAAGCTCTGGGCACCCCTGTCAAGACTTACTCCCTGCCCCTAACCCTAACCCTCCCCAGCCCCACCCAGGACTTGGGATGTCCCAGGCGGTGGCTCCTACCCTGCAGTGGGCTCAGCGGCTAGTCCCAGCTGGGCTGGGGGTGTGGAAGGAGCGCACTTTCCCTGCATGGAGTGGCTGGGTCCGGGTCAGACCCACCCCTAGAATCCTCCACTGGCTCCGCACCCCTCCTCCCTCTTGCCCCTGCTTCCTGTCCCCATTTCTCCTCAGCCGTGGGGGGAGCAGTCACTATGGGGAGCTGCTCCCTCAGCTGCCTAACCCTGTGCATCCGGATGCCCCCACCATCCGGCCCTCCCTGCCAAGACCTCCCCTCACCTCCAGCCCTCTCCACCAAGCGCCCCCTCCCGCATCCAGACCCCCCCCCCCCTGCACTCAGACCACTGACAGCTGAGCCCAACATACAGGAAACCCAACTGCGATAAGCCCCAATGCCTATGCACCTGGACTACCCTGACGAGACCCTTGCACCCAGACCCTCACCCCATTGAGCCCCAACCAACTGCATTTGGACCCCACGCCCCCAGCCTTGAGCTCGCTGAATTGCAAATAGCTGTATGAATTTTCTTTCACACTGCTCTACTAATGTACTTCAGTCCTGATCTGCGCTAAAGCTCAGATCACAAAGCTATCTAGACTCCAACTTGCATTGAAATCAGTGAAAGTTAGGAACCTAAATATCTTTGTGAATCTTTCAGGAGAAACAGAACTGAGCAGTAAATGCACTTACAAGAAATTGTGTGGTAACTATGTGAAGTAAACCAATGACAGTGGGACCTAGAATAAGATTAAAACTTAATTACCTAGAATGTAACAGAACTTAAAACTATACTTTTGTAGGTGAAAAGCTAATGCATTAGCCCACTGCTCCACCTAGCCTATTTGTTTATTGATCAATATTTTGTAGAAATATAGGGCTAGAAGGGACCTTGAGGTCATCTAGTCCATTCCCCTGCACAGATGCAGGATCAAGTATACCTAGACCATCCCTGATAGGTGTTTGTCTAACCTGTTCTTAAAAGCCTCCAGTGACTGGGATTACACAGGGAAGCCTATCCAGTACTTAGCTATCCTTGTAGGGTACATCTACACAGCAGAGAAAAACTTGTGGTTGGACTGTGCCAGACAACTCGGGCTGTTTCATTGCTGTGTAGACTTCTGGGCTTGGGCTGGAGCCCGAGCTCTAGGACCCTGCTCGTACCACTATGCTTCCCCAGATTCTTTTCAGCGGTGCAACTGTCTGGCCAAAGATTCACCATTTTGTATTTGTGCCTTAGATTTTTTCCTTCCGAAGTGCTGTACTTTAGACTCTTTTAAATTTCATTTTGATGATTTCAGACCAGCTCTCCAATTTGTTGAGGTCACTTTGAGTTTTAATCTTGTACTCCAAGGTGCTTGCAACCTCTCCCAGCTGGGTGTCATCCACAAAATTTATAAGCATTCTCTCTGAACCATTTTCTGAGTTATTCTTGAAAATATTGAATAATACTGGACCCAGGACAGATCCCAGCAGAATGCCACTAGACACATCCTCCCTCTTTGACAATGAACCATTGATAAACTTTGAATGTTTTTTTTTCCTTTCAACTAGTTATGCAACCACCTTCTAGTAATTTAATCTAAACTATGGATATGTGATCTGCTTATGAGACTGCCATGTGGGGCTGCATCAAAAGTCTTACTCAAATAAAGATAAATCATGTCTACTGCTTCCCCCCTCTACTCTCCTATTCACTAGCCTGGTCAGTGAAGGAAATTAGGTTGGTTTAGCATGATTTGTTCTTAACAAATCCATGTTGGATATTACTTAATACCCTGTTATCCTGGACGTGCTTACAAATTGTTTAATAATTATATCTTTCCAGGTTTCAAAGTTAGGCTGGCTAGTCTATAATTCCAAGGTTCTCTTTGTTCCCTCTAAAAATAGGTAGTATGTTTGTCCTTCTCTAATCTTCTGGGACTTCATGTGTGCTCCATGAGTTCTCAAAGATAATTACTAATGGTTCCAAGATTGCTTCAGCTGGTTCCTTAAATACCCTAGGGTGAATTTCATCAGGTCCTATTGACTTGAATACATATAACTTATCTAAATATTCTTTAGCCTGTTTTTTCTGCATTCTGGATTTTGTTCCTTCCCACTCATTGTTAATATTAATTGTGCTAGGCATCGGATCTCAATTAACCTCTGTAGTGAAAACTGAAGTAAAATGGGCATTAAATGCTTCATTAAATGTCATGTGCTGTTAGCTCTCTTTCCCCATTAAGTAATGGGCTTACGCTTTCTGTGGTCTTTCTACTGTGCCTAATGTATTTACAAAACTCTTCTTATTTAGGGGTGTGAACTCTCTGAATCATATTTGACTTGTATGCTAATTTACTGATGGTGAAGGCATTCATATTACTTGGTTGGTATCTTGAAAAAATGGATATAATAGAGTATATTGAAAGTAATATGTAATATGTTGTTGGCACACACATAGCTAGATGTTAATATTCTAAAACTACTGTGGCCAAAATCTGCTCTCAGTTGTCTTTAATTACTATAAATTAGTTACGTAGGCTGTCATTATGAATTTGTTATCCAGTGGACATAGTAGTCACTATTTTACTGGAACAGATAAACATGCCTTTGCATATCTATATTTCACTGTTTATTTCAGTGGCTTTCAACCTTTCCAGACTACTGCACCCCTTTCAGGAGTCTGATTTGTCTTGCATACCCCCAAGTTTCACCTCACTTAAAACTACTTGTGTGCCAAATCGGGCATAAAAATACAAAAGTGTCAGCACACTGTTACTGAAAAATTGTTTACTTGCTCATTTTTACCCTATAATTATAAAATCAACTGGAATGATATTGTACTTACAATTCAGTGTATAGTATATATAGAGAGCAATATAAACATTTTATTGTATGAAATTTTAGTTTGTACTGACTTTGCTAGTGCTTTTTTCTGTAGCCTGTTGTAAAATTAGGCAAATATCTAGATGAGTTGATATACCCCCTGAAAAACATCTGCATACTGCCAGGGTTGAGAACCACTGGTTTATTGAACCAGCAAAGTGGCCCACTGCTTGCACGCTGATATTTACCAGATGGCTTAACAGTCTTCATTCTCACATGCATAACACTAACTGGGTAAAACATTGAGTATTGATGTACTGGTACAGAGATCAGCAACCTTTGGCACGCGATCCCTGTACTAGTACTTTAAGTATGTGTCTATCTTACGTATGCTTAACAGCTGATGCTGGATTTCTTTAGATGACATTTGAAGAGAGCAGTTTTAAACAATTATATTGTCTAAACCTCTCTTCAAATTATTTTAGTTTGCAGACTGAAGACTGTCCCGTTGTTTTGCCAGTAGTCATATGCCAGTATGAATTTTTTTAGCATCTATGGGGAAAATCACTAGGGCTAAATGGTGCTTCTAAGTACCACCTTGAGCAAAAGGTGGTCTGTAAATTGCACATCTCCTGAATAGCCTGTGCTTCAAACACACCTCCAAGGCACA